GCACTGTGTAACTGCCTCGAGGGTGCTTGACCATTTTAACACAAACAACGTGGTGCGATCATACCCCTTGCGCGGAGTGAGGGTTCTCCACCCCGCACAACATGATCTACTCGACCACCACTATGGTTACCGCAAAAAAAAAAAAGGTAAAAAAAGAAAAAATGGTAACCTGGTTGCCGAGTTAACGAAGTGAATTGGCTTGTTTTACAACGTCGTTGCCAAGCGACGAAAACCCAATCCCGATGGCAAACACCGACGGGGGGGGGAGTCCAATGATGGGAGAAAAAAAAACGATGTTACGAAGGCAGCAGCAGAATACAATCATCTACAATTGTCGGAGGGCATGCAAAATAATAATAAAAAAAGAGCAGGACGGCGGGTGTTTCTCCCTTGGTGTGACCGGTGGCAGTATCGATCAGCAATGCCCCACAGACGTTTGCGCGCCGAAATATGCGTGCGACAGCTTTAACCTAACCACTTCGGTGTAAAGCGGATTTCTGTTCGATACGGTGTCGGGAGTGCTGAGGGGGGNACATTCCTAGCTATCGGGCATCGAGTTAATTTGGCTTGGCATGACGGCCTTTACGATCGACTGTTTATGTATGTCTGCATTTATCTGCAATTGTCAGAGGGCAAACAAAATAATAATAATAATAATATGGGTACATCTGCAATTGTCGGAAGGCAAAAAAAAAAAAATGGTTACGGATGGTAGTGTGGAAAGTAGGCCTGTGTAACTCTAGACTATCGTGTTCCAACTGGTACTTCCTGTTTCTCGTGGCGTCCTCAGCAGTGGCCGTGCAGACGTATCGCCGCAACGAAGCGGGCGTTGTAGGAAGGTGTCAGCAGGTGAACGGCAGCAGGAGACGGGACATGGTTGCATATGTGGCGCGAACAGCTTCTTCTGCTGGAGTCCATCACCAACCATATCTCGGAATTCGCCAGTTTTTCCACGATTCATTCGACAAACGACACAAAATATCTCGGGAATGTAGGCTTGTGGATGTTGACGATTGATTGTCCCGTGTCGGTTCTCGAAAATTGTATGTCCTAATTTGTTCTTGAGTTGGTGCGTGCTCTCTCCGCAATGTGTCGCGCAAGCAGAACAAACCCTATGCAGCAATGACCACTGATGATGTGCATAATAAGCACCCGATATTGTGCACAATCTTAAAGTCACCGGTCAAAGGCAAAAAAACTCAAGTTTAAGTGCTGCGTGTGAGCCTGTGCGTGTCATCATCTACAGCTGCAGCGCGGCGTACCAACTCACTTATCGTGCCGCGGGATATGACAAAACGCAAAATACAGCAGCAACTGACCTACACGGCCCAGATTTGGTGAGCAGTGACCTTTCAGTGGATTGCGATACCTCTACGACGCGTGTCCGTGTGCAAAGTGGTACCGGAGAAGTGTGTACAGCACCTGGTTTAGCGCTTGTGGACTCAGACTCACCATCGTCTTTCATTAGCGATGCTTTTCTTGAAGCGATGGAGGCGTCAGGAGCTGCATCTGTCCGCAGTCGTCGTTCGGTGCCCATCCGAGTAAAGGGTGGTTTTGGCTCTGGCACTACCCTTGAAACCACCTCCTCCTTGCAGCTGTCCATTTATTCTTTTTACGACGATAGCGCCATCGCCTCGTTAGCGGTGTAGGCAATATGTTGTCCCCGCTGCCGCCATGGGTCACGCCCTTGTTATTGGGTGTGATAGTTGGATGCGTTTTAACTCCCGTTTGTCCACTACTTTGCCCATGCGGTCTGCGAGTGGACGCAGTATGGAGAAACTGTCTCCGTCGTCGGATTTTCCGGTGGGGGCTTCCGCGTATGTCTCTGGACCCTCCGCCCCCGGGGACAAAATATTTCCTCCGGTACGCCGGCAGGAAGGGTGTCTCCCTTTCCGATAAACCCACTTCGACGAGAGTGAACCTTGTTCGCACGTACGTCCGGCACTCCCGCCCTCACCGGCAACTATGTTGTCACGTTTTACCAAAACATGGCGCTCTTTCGGCGTCGGACGCGTTTGTTTCGGACGGGCCTCAACACACCCCTCTGACCGGATGCGCCGAGTTGGAGCCTGGTGATGTGCTTGGAGTGGCGACTGCTCCCCTTGTGCAGATTCTTTCGTTTGGAAGTGGGCACGAAACCGCTGGGCTCGCGTCATTATTGGCTTGACCCTTTGGTGGAGAAAACGTCGTTTTTCTATTTGGACGCCCCAGTGGATAAGGACGGGGAGCCCATGGGTCCACTTACAGCGTGGGACTTCCCTTTGCCGTGGACGGAAAAACCTCGGGTAGGAAGAGGGTCTAAGCTGCGCATTCAGGTCACATTCTGGGACGCCGTGGGACGCGTTGGTTAGGCGTGTTAGCATCCAGGCGTCCGACGGGATGTCCGGGGAGTCCAATGCTTGTCCCATGGGACACGTGGGGCGTCCAATGTCTGTCTCGCTGGACATATCGGACGTCCCACGTGTGCCATGGGACAGCAAGTGGATGCCCCACGTGCCCCATGGGACAGCTAGGGGCGTCCAACGTGTCCCATGGGGTGTCCAATGTTACTCATCGAGCATCGCATGGGACGCCTGGCCCATTGCACGCCCACATCCCTGTTTCAACAACAAGACTTCGCAGTTACCGTCTTCACAATCTCGCTGTTCATGCATCGTATTCTCTATCTCATACTACGAACGCCTGTGGGACACCGTAGGGGAGTCTGGCTGGGCCGTCCCACGCCCGTTATCGAGCGCCGCGTGGGACGTACCTAGCGTGGTGCCATAGAGCGTCCCACGAGTCCCACGTTCTAGATTTGGTGTCCCATGGGACGTCCCACGTGTCCCAAAGGACGTCCTACGTGTCCTACGCGTCCGTATGGGCCGTCCCATGTGACAGGTGGGACATCCCACGTGTCCCATGGGACGGCCCACATGGGCTCCCAATGGTGTCAGAACCTGACAAATTCCTATCATAACCAGAATATTGTTCTGGCTAGTTAAATGAATCATTGACCGCCTTGGAGTCGATGAATGGGTCGAAAGGCTCTCCTTGCCTGGGCACAGACAAACACACAGTTTTCGATCCATGCAAAAAAAGTCCTTCCTTCCACATGTGTCCATCCATCTATCCATCAAGTGTGATAGTACTTATTATATGTTTTGGGATACAGTACGCGACACGAGCTTCCTTTGCCGATCACTGAGATACACGCCCCACTTCCGGCATGTATGCACGTGATCTTGCGTTACCCTCGGGAGGTAGGCTTGGCACCATTGACACCCACGTACTACAGCTTAGTGAGGTGTACGCTCCTCACTTGTGCATGAATTCATAGCCTATATACAGTAGTAGATCGATAGACTACTGTAGAAAGTCCAGTCTACCCGTCTACTGCTGCACTACATGTTGATAGGGTAGATTGTCCAGCGGTCTTCCCTAAGCTGGTGTGAGTTAGAGTCGTCAGCACAAGACGATACGGTGAGCACTTGAAGCGGGTGGAGAATGGTAAAAAATCTAAGCGCTACATACGTTAGTTGTTCATGCGTATGCTGCATAGCAATCCAAGATACAAACCATGATACAAAGGCGTCTTGGGGTTTCCTAAAAGAAAGGCTTTTCCGATTTGGTTCGGTGCGTTGTCCTGTAAGTAGCAGGCGGGACTCGAAAAAAAACGAAGTCCGGTCCGGACCTGACTGACTATAGAACTGCCGAAAAGTAGCTGCAAAAATGACGATGAGAGTGATGGCGATGAAAGCAAGGAGGATGATGGTGAAAGCACTCCAAAACGAACTCGAGTGCAAGGTAGCAGCCTTGCACATTCGTGCAGTTTTCCTCTGTTGCTACCGTTTCTGTCTTTCATCCGGAGAATAGCTTAACCTCCCCCATGCCGCCCCCTCACGGGGTCCCAAGTAAATGACATTTATTGAAAGAGGTGTTTAGTGTTTGTAACCGAACTGAGACTGGCGTATTTTCATTGGTTGGCCGGTTGGCGCGCTCGATGCTAGTAAGAAAGACACATGCATTACGTGCTATACAGTTTTGCGCCCGCACGTAGAACCGCCCTTTTTTTATGGTGCTTAATGCTTCCTGGCTGCCTCAAACCGAGCACCTGTTCTTGTCGTCAAAGTTGTATTTCGAGAATGAATTCGTTTACGATAAGCGAGGTGCTTGTGCCTTGTATTTTTTCGCCGCGGGCCCCATGCAGAGGAAGGACACAGGTTTGCCCTTCTGACAGACAGTTGAGAGCTGCGTGTTGATACAAACAAATATCAGAAAAAACGTCGTTCAACAGTCCCGCCCTCTGGATCGAACGCGCCCGCAGCGATCACCACACTAGGGTAGAAACACAGACACCGCATCGCGTTAAGGGATGCATCAAGAGCAACATTAAACCACTTCAAGATCCACGAGGGCCACCTTCGGCGTTATTGTCCTCCTCGCTCTACCGTCGTAGCTACACCATTGCCCCCCCCCAATAAGAAGGTAGTGAAAGAACTCGAGGCGGCGCAGATGAAAGCAGCGAAAATCATCCTTGGATGCTCCAAGCGCACAAGTAATGCAGCCGTCAGGGCAGAATTGGGGATCCAATCCCTACGGTCGGGAAGAGACGCGAGGAAGCTGACATTACAGTATCGCATGTGCGGGATGGGAGAGGAGAGGTTGCCGAGAGTTGTATGGGAGACTGAGTGGGCAAACACACAGAGGGGTAGACAACCCACGGAATGGGTCAAGGTTGTAGAGGACGTATGGAAGGGGCTCGACGTCGACGACGATGAAAAGCTGGAAACGGAGGGTCTACAGGGGTTCAAGGAGAAGATATCTGTTGCTTGTGCCGAGAGGGAAGAACAGAATCAAAGAAAAGAAACCAAGGATACGGAGGGTCTATAAGTGTACGGAATGTTGAAGGAAGGAATAGGGTTCAAGGACTACCTACATGGACCAATGGATGCAGGGACAAAGCTTAAGGTCAAAATCAGGACCGGGGACATAGGCCTTCGAGAACGTCGACGAAGACATAGGACGGTAGACGACAAAGACGACGAGTTCAAATGTGATTGCGGCTTCGAATGCGAAGACCGTGTTCTTGTAGTCGCGGAATGTCCGTTGT